TCCACATCCTCCTCCCGGCTCTCCTCATCCACCTCCTCCTCCTCCTCCTCCTCCATTCCTCTTCCTCCTCCTCTTCCTCCCCCACATTCTCCTCCACCTCCTCCTCCTCTTCCCACCTTCAATCCCTGACCCTCCATGCTTCCGAAAACAGTTTGAAGTAGGTTTGAAATAGGTTTAAAATAGGTTTGAAGTAGGTTTGAAGTAAGTTTGAAGTAGGTTTGAAGTAGGTTTGAAGTAGGTTTGAAACCTACTTTGAGGCCTCCGAAACCTACTTGGATGCTCCTAAAACCTACTTTGGGGCCTCCGAAACCTACTTTGCGCTACCGAAAACCTACTTTTGGAGTCCGGAAACCTTCTTTGGAACCTACTTTGCAACGACAAATTCTGCAAACCTACTTTCCGACCTACTTTGGGGGCGCGGTTCCTTGAAACATCAGCGCACGCTTGCCCGAGCCTTTCCCGGAAGTCGCACCCGGGGGCGGCGCGCCAAAAAAGAAATCTGCGAAGTACCCCCAGAAGGTGAGCAAACCCAAAACACTTGTGGGTTGCCCCCGACAAGCGGGAGCCCCCCAAAGGGGGCGGTCTCCCCCCCCCCCCGAGGGTCGAGGATCGAGCGCGATTTCGCTGTCGGGCGACAAGCGATCGTACCGCGACAGGACAGGGCCTTTTGGCGGCCCCCCCGCTGGCGGGCAGGGGGCCGCCGCCCGGCGCCATAGGTTCTTCAGAAACCAAACCTGATGCGGCCGCCCCCCGCCACCCGGGGCCCCTCCGGGCCCGGCCCGACGGAGGCGCCACTCCCCTTCCGTTTCTCTTTCCTCCTCCCACCTCTCTCCACCTCCTCTCCTCTTTCACGCGTCCTCATTATTCCAGCCTCCCTCCACCTCCTCCCCCCGGAAACGCCACCTCCCCCCTACCCGCCTTCTGGAGCACCCCACCCTCCCGTTTCTCACCTTCTTAACCTTCCTGGTCCTCCCTCTCGTCCCCCCCCCTCTCCCTTGCTCGGGCCCGCGGCCCTCGCCCCGCCCTCCACGCCCCACTTCCCGCTGTGGTCAGACCAAGGGGGAAACGCAATGCCCCCAGATCTCAGGACGGAGGTGGTTTGGAGCGCTTCCTGTTCCAACAACCCCCACTCTTCCCTTCGGGGATGGATGCACCCCCCCCCTCCTTCCGGGGCCTGCCATGGGGGGCGGCGGGTCGCTGGAGCGCCCGAGACGGTCAAAGATAGAGCCGGCATGACCTCGCAGAATGCAACGCGGTCTCACAGATGGTTCAAGATAGCCCAGGATGGATCAACATTGTTTCCCGCGTGCCCCAAGAAACCCAAATACCGCTCCGAGACCGCCCCAAGCGGCCGCGGAGCCACCCAATAACACCCCCGAGAGGCCGAAATCTTTCCAAATCGTACGAGACACGAATGAATCGGGCCTGATGGCCCATGCGCATCCGAAGACTTTGGAAGCCTGAGGATAAGCCCCGAAGGAGTCCAGAAGAACCCAAGACAGCGCACTTCACGAATTACTCGGCTGGCTTGCTAGCAGAAGCCGCGCCTTGCCGGCGGCATTCCAGCATTTCCCCGAGAAGCTTGTTTGGAAAATACCATTACTGACCCGATCCAGACAAATTACTTTTGATATTGTGTTCCCGACAACCTTCCCTGGAAAGCTACTTTTGCACATGAATGTCGCATTCCTTTTCCCCTGAAAGGTTATCGCGGCAATCGGTTTCGCCATCCTTTCCCTTCGAGTTACCTGCGCCGACCGCTGTTGCCAGGCGCGCTGCAGACCTACTTCGCCGACCTACTTCAGGAGCTACTCTAAACCTACTCCAATTGTTTTGCGCCTCAAACAAGCCCTGCATTCAAAGGGAAGTCTCGGGTGTTGACAAGATGTGTCGGCGCGAGTGCGCGCAAATGATGGGGCTGGTGATGTCGGCCACGCGGTCAGGACAGAGGTAAACGAGGAGGAGGAGGAGGAGGAGGAGGAGGAACAGGAGGAGGAAGGGGAGGAGGAGGAGTGTAGAGGGGGAGGGGGGGGGGGAACGACCAGAACACCAAATCTACCCCCCACCCCATGTTGCGCTTCCTGGAGAACCTCCAAGGCCTCCTGCTTCCAGTTTGCCCTTCTCCTGTGCACCTCGTCTCCTCATCCTCTCTTCGCTCTCTTACTCTGCACTTCGCCTTCCCTCGCCCTTCCTTCAAACAGCGTGCCGCAAGTAGAAAAAGTTGCGGGCTGCGGCAAGCACGCTGTATTCCTGTACCGCAAGCGAGCCCGTTTGCCTTCGGGCGGCAACTCAACAGTTCTATGCGTAATTACCGACAGCGCATGTTCTGTCACATGTTGAGCAACACATTGTATCATCATCACACTAGACATCACTACCGGCCGTGCGCTGCTGTGTTTCCGCGACCGAAGCGGAACTGTCCTCGGCGACGCATGCATCTATGCACACGCGCCGACCACACATGGCTGCCACCCTTACGACCGTCTGGCATTACCTCCGCCCGCAGGCATGCGCGTTCCACACATCATACGACATACAACATCACCCCGCCAATCAACCCGAATCAACATGCCCCTCCTGCAACAACAAGGCACACCACGGCACGGCGCGGCCGTGCGCACGACGCAACTGGGCACGGCACAAGGCCGCCCCACCGAAAACACCCATTGTACACACCACGCTTAGGCTGCACCCGCGGCCGCCATTGGCTTCTCCGAGAATTGCGCCATGGGTTGCGCCATAGGCTGCGAACGCCGAATACCGTTTTCGTCCGTCCTGTTCCCATTATGCAATCATGGACTGTTTGGCGTTGTTCAGGGAATGGTGCCCGCAAATAATCATGCACGTGGCGAGCAACGCGCACGACCCGCGTGAAGTACAACTGCACGTGTGAACACAATGCTCTCAATACCACTGCCCAGCCATTGTCACACAACACTGCGAATCCTCAGAGTCAACCGCATTACGGCATCAAGGACGGTATGCGCGAACAGATAGTGAGGATGTACAAGGGGTGCGCCAGGGAAGCAAAAGGCGAGGTGAGGAAGGATGGGAGATGAAGGAGGAGTGGTGACAGAGAGAGGACGACTTGATGATTGATGGGGATGCGTAAGGGAGGCGGGAGAAGATGGAAGAAAGATGCTCAACAAGGGATGCCAGAGGAGTCTCAGCGAGGATTGAGGAGACATGCGCAACGAGAAGAGGGGGCCGGGGGAGTAACGGGAGGAGATGCATGCGACTGGGAAAAGCACGTGACGGAACTGCGATGGGAAGAGGACGAGGAGGACCAGGACGATGGGGAGTGAGGGGCGATGACAGGGCGAGGAGTTGGACGACAATGAAGGATGGGGATGGGGAACAGGAGCTCAGCATCGCTCGGGCGTCCCTTCCCTGTGTATGTTTCGATGCCGTGTGCTTCTTTTTGTTGCGCGGTGATCCAGGATGCTCCTCGATATGGTACTCGCCAAAGAGCACCTCCGAGCGATGCCGAGGGAGGATAACAAAGGGGGGGAGAGAGAGAAGGCGCACGACGAGAAAAGCTCGGCTGTTTTGTGTCATCGTAGCAGGTGCTGTCGGTTTTCTTCACTTAACTCGAGCTGCAGATGAGCTACAGAATTGTTTGGCAGAGCAATCGAAAGGAAATCATCAGGAACGCGGGTCAGACAGATCAGTCATGAGAGTGGCGCTGCCGACCAGTAGACTACATGGACGGAGGATGGGGGCTTCTTTCTTTATGTGTTTTTTTGGATGGGGGGTATTGGGGTGCACGATGCAGAGGAGGATGGGCATGCAGGAGCACCAGAAGGAAGTGGAGTGAAGAATAGGTCGGGGGATACGTTATGTAGGAATGTCAAATCGAGGGGTATCAATAAGAAATCCGCCGCCTTTGTCCGCATGTGTGAGGAGCGTGTCTGTTCGAGTCGTCGTCTCCGTCAATCGTCGTCTCCGTCTTTCCCTTTCCCTGCACCCTCCTCCTCAAGCCCGTCATCCCAGAGGGCACCCCCCGCCCCAAGGGTGGGGGCGCCCCCCCTCCCCCCGAGGGGGGGGTGGCCAGGGAGGTAGGTGGGGGGGTCAGATGCGCATTCCGCCCTGGGGCCCTGGGGCCTCAGAAGTACCACGACAGGACACGAGTGCCCCAAGAAACCCCCGAGGCCGTCCAAGAGAGCGCCCAATCGCCAAACGACAGGTCCGGCACGCACGCCTTCACGCCCTCAAGACTGCCCAAGGGGCCCCCAAGACTCCCCCAGAAGCCTCCGAGAGCACTTCCGGCAAGGCCCCTAGAGGCACCATGAATTCATCTTCTTTGGTTTCTTGGTGCAAAAGGGTGCAAAAGGATTTGGGCGTCCTCGCCTTTTCGTGTTCCCGCCGCTCCGAGACGGCCGAAGAGGCCTCCAACAAAGCCCAAGAGGCCCCCATTCGGGCTCCAAGAGCGTGCCCAGACGGGGGACCCGACCGGACAAGGCTGGAGGAGGTCCCCAAGAGGCCCCAAGAGGCCTACAAGACCGAAGGACAACCGAAGAGGCTCCCAGAAGGCTGCCAAAAGGCCCCCTAAGAGGCTCCCTAAGAGGCCCCAGAATTCCTCCCCAGAGGCCCCCGAGAACCTTCGGAAGAGACCCCAGGAAACATCCTTGAGAACTCTGGCCCACGTCAACGTCGTCGCCGCCGTTGTCGTCACGGCCCCCCTCATAGTCGGCAGCACCCGCCGTAAGGCCTTCGCAATAGCATGGCATGGAGACGGACCGTGCTGAGAGAGGACGTGTCTGCAGCCGCGGTGACGAAGCAACGTGCAACTACAACGGGGACAGCGGCGATCGTGCGGACGAGGATATGAGGGAAGGGGGATGCGAACACGCAGAGGGGGAAGCGAGGGAGAGAGAGAGAGAGAGAGAGAGGGAGCGACAGAGAGAGAGAGAGAGAGAGACATCAATTAGGTGTGTGGGATCGAGAAGGCAACAATGCAATCACAGGCGCGTCCCCGTCGTGTCGCCTGTCACTGTGTCTCATTGGGTCTGCTGGCATGCCTTCAGCGAGTCCAAGTAGAACTGGCACTGCGACGCATCCACTGCTGTCTTGAAGCACTGGTTAAGCTGTTCCTGACGCAAGCAGAACGCATCCTCCTAACCGGTATCTCGTTCCTGCCCCTTCTCGTCACCCCTCTCTCCCTCTTTTTGTTTCTGCAATCTCGTCTCGAATACCTTCGGGTACAGCTGTACCCGCAGAATCGACAAGCACTGCACCTCCGTTGAACGCATCGCGATACTTGTCACACCCCGATCCACGTGTGACTGGTTCGAGTCACCTCCTTGCAGTTTCGCGCGCGCGCGCCATGGCTCCGAAAGGCTCACGCTGTGCGACCTTTGCACCGCAGCAGCTCCAGCCACCAAGAACGGGACGCCCAAAGGCTACCTTAACGGATCGACGAGATACCAACACCAGTCGAAAGGGAGCCTGCGTCGCCGCACTCCTGAGCAGTGGTGGCGTCGACCGAACAGTCGATACATACAACGAATAGGCTCACCAACATCAAGTCGGTCTCGGTAACATTTGCCAACAGACGCCGCTCCAACCAGCGCCAGCTCAGGGGTGAACTGATGATATTGTGCGGGAACCGCAAAATCAGCTGCACCATCTGCGCTGCTCCCTCATACACAAGCAGGGTTCCACTCGCGACTTGCCAGGGTCCGCGGCTTCCGCCGACGCCCACCAATGCAACGGCGCCACCCTACCCATCAGCCTGGACGCACAAAACTAGGATGCCCCTGTCGCTCTCGCCGCCAGCAGGGCGCAGTACAGGACATCACGCACCAATCACATCTCGCTCCGCTCGCTCGAAGAGGGTAGCCGCCTCCTGCGACAGATCCGCCGGCAGGACAGACCCCTCGCACTAGCCGTCCTGCGACCGATCAGCTCCGACTGCCCGGGGCAGGAGGCCGGAATAAGCCTATGCCGAGACATATCAGAGGGAGGGGGCCGAGCGGTCGTTCACTGTCACTAGGTGCGTGGTTGAAGTGGGATTCCACGAGGCGGATTCCCGTGGAACTCTCACTGCTGAAGAAAAATTATTGTTGATCCCCCCTCCGGTGACCGTTTTGTTTTTTCAATTGAAGTGCTTCCCTCAGGGCTCGCACCCTGTTTTCTTGCGCAGGGGAAGTCACTCGGCTCAAACTGGGTTGTTGGCCCCCGAACTACAACAAGAACAACAACAACCACATCAACACCAGTAACAGCAACGGCAACAGCAACAGCAACAGCAACAGCAACAGCAACATCGACAGCAACATCAACAACAACAACACCAACAACAACAACGACAACAACAACAACAACAACAACAACAACAACAACAACAACAACAACAACAACAACAACAACAACAACGGGGCATTTTCAATGTATTCAGGAATCGCGCTCTCGCATGGGACTTTCTCGACACTTATTCAGACGCCGCGCCCTCGACATGCAGGAGTCACGCTCTCGCTGTAGATTTCCTCACGATTGATTTGGGAATCAAGCTGTCGCTCGAGACTCCCTCGCGATTTCTGTAGGACGCACGCTTGAGCAACCCGCCTGCTCGACCTGGCCGCCTGGGCCCTCCTTCCCGACCCGCCTGGTAGTGTATACCCGCCCGATCTGCCCGTCTGGTTCTGCCACGCGTTTTCAGCTCCTAGCCCGCGCTCCATCCTACTCCCTCCCCCTTATCTTTCCTTCCATCCGTTCTTCTGAAACGCCCCAATGGGAATGCTTCCGCAGGTCCCTTGGATACCCACGAAGACCCTCGGTTCCCAGGTTTCATGGAGTGTCTGGGATCTGGTAGGCGGCGCCGAAACGTCTTCTACTAACCGGCCGTCAGTGCCACAACGTCCTCTCCTTGCGCAGACAATCTTAAGCTCCCTGAAAAATCCCGGGGGGCGTCGCTGCAAGTTCCTAAAGGCCTCCGGGAAACGTCTGGCCTACCACATGACGGTGCCACAGCGTCGTCTGGTTGCGAGGCCCGTCCAGGTGAGGCCCCTGAGTCCTTCTGGGAGCCTCTGGGGCCCTCTGGGCCCTCAAGGCGGCGCTTGGAAAACTTCATCTCTGGAAACGCCTGACATCCGATCAGTACACGGAGCAAGGGCCGTCGACAATATGTGCCCTCTTGCTGCCGTGGGAATGCTGCAACAATCTGCACACATTTGTCTGTGTGTGTCGCCTTGCCAGGAGGCAGATTTGGGTTCACCGCGATGCCGTTCGTGTCCCCATGCCCCTCCGAGGAAGACCGCTCGAAGCCAACCGAGGCACCTGAAGGCTCTCGTGAGACCGTCGGGAAAGGAGGAGGAGGAGAAGCAGGAGGAGGAGGCATCCCCAACTCCCGACTGTCCGAGGCAAGCTGGGCGCTCTGACAGATCTTCATCCCCCTTTGACCCTCTGATCGGCATCATTGCGTCTTGGATGCGGGTGGGGCATCCGAACACAGAAAGCCCAAGGTGCGCTAAGGATTGGCTTCCCCCCGAAACCACGAGTACATATCGCCTCCCAAGGCCCGACACGTGAAAACCCTCCAGTCTCGGTACTCTCTTGGTGCTCAAAATTATTCCTGGTGGTCCGGGCTAAAGTAGGTTGGAACACCATAAGCCTCGGCGTCGTCGGCGGTGCATCGATGCCGTCTGCGTGGAGGAGGCCTGATCACTTCCCCCCCCCTGTGACACCGGGCCCTACTTGCACGCCTCTTCGGCCCAGCGCTGCCGGAAGAGGCGGTGGAGGTGAGGGGGGGGGAGACAGCCTCCAGAAGGCGCGAGGGCCTCCGAGAAGCCCCGCCGCCCTCTGAGAAGGCCTGCTCCTTCCCACTTCTTTCCCGCCGCCAAGTTTCGAGGGGAGACCCATCCCCAGCGAGTCTCGGACTTGCGTTAGGTCGGGCATGTCCTCCCGCAGGCGGATTTGGAAGAAACATGAAACATGAACAACAAACGTATCCCCAAACATACAAACATCATCAAACACAGCCCCCAACCCATTTTTGGCCATTTTTGAACATTCCCCATGTAGAGAGTCATGCCCGCCTTGAGACGTGCGAACTCTCTCTACACGCTCTTCTGACCAGGGTCAGTCCAGATCCGGGTCACTCAAGCCTTACAGAATCCTGCAAGATCCTGCACCCAAACTCGGGCCAACGCGAAGGATCCCGCAATATCCTGCAGGGTCATGCACTCACACCCGGGTCAATGCGACCCTGGCTCTGCACGATCCTGCGAGATCGGGCCCTCTGGCTGACCCCTGTTTGCGTTGATTCGGGGTCGGCCAAGAGGGGGGCGTCCAAGTGAGGGGGAGGCGCAAATCGTGGCCAGCGGCATGTGCGCGGCCCCGCGGTTGGCCAGGGAGCGCACTGAAACAAGAAGCGGGGCCATGACATCTGGGAAGATATCATGGCCCCCGCCATGCCCCCCCCCCTCCGTAGTCCCCCCCTCCCCTCTTGGCCGCCCCCGTTTGCGTCGACCCCCGTCTCAGGGCCCCCGACACGCCACCGCCGCCGCTCCCTGCCCCCGGGCCCCCCCCCCCCGGGGGGCACGGCGGGCGCCCCGCCCCCCCCCCCCTTTCTTTTGGCCGAGGCCGCGAGGAGGGCCCGCGCTCTGCACGCCGGCCGGCAGGAACACCCATCGGCGTTTACGACACTGGGCGGGCAGGACATCCGCATAGAGGGGGTTCAACGTCAACACACCTAGGCTGGTGCCTTGCGCGCGTCTGGCAAGAGTCCCCTGCGACTTGGTTGTGCAACGGCCCTGACTTCCCACCCGGGCCGGCAGGGGGCATACCCCGAAGCTTCAAGGGTGAGCTCCGAGGTGGCGCCGTAAGAGAGGCTCGCTACCTTGTGGGTACGAGTCCCTGCGGGTCAGTGCGGGACATTGGGCGGAAGGGGGGGGGAGGAGGAGAGGGGGTCTGGCTCCGGACCTTTGCTTAGTGCGGCAGTTTGGAGCAGTACGTCCTGTGGGGGCGGCTCCACCTGCTCGAAACAGGCACCCAAAACAGCCAAGATCTACTCCAAGGAGGGTGGGGGAGGGGGGGGGCGAGGGCCCGCGCCGATCGGCAAAACAACGAACAAGAAAACACTCACAAGTGGGTATTTCGGGAATCGACTTTAAACGCCTTCCTACTTCAATGATCGAACGGCTTCACCTTTTCCGTCCTCTTTGGGGGGCGGGCGGCAACGCAATCTACTTTCAACGCCTTCCTGTTTCATGTTTCTGCCTACTTCTGCCGACCGATGGGTAGGTAAACACATGAAGTAGGAAGACGGCTAAAGTAGATTGGGCCCAGGGCCTCCCAGAGGATTACAACATTCGGAAGAAAACGAATCGGTTCTTGAAGTAGGAAGGCGCTTGATATAGAGATCGGGATCTGGGAATCCAAGAATACTTTCTTTCAACGACCGGCGTGCAATGCGGAGTGAGTGCCGACACTTTTTCTGGTCCACGGCGAGCCTCGGCCACGAATATGTTCGAAGCAGCGGCCCGACACCAGAGCCCCTCCGGAGCCCCAAGTGGTCATCATTTCAGCGTCCTGCCCGTCGGCAAAAAAACACCAGGGGGGACGTAGACGAGCGACGAGCGACAACGACCCGAGCCGCCAGCGGCGGCGGCGACGCGGCGATGAGGGCGGCGAGGGCGCGGACGGCGCAGTGGAGCGTCGCAGTAATCGGGAGCGGCCAAGAGGGGGGTGTCCAAGAGGGGGGGTGCAAATCATGACTGGCGGCATGTGCGCGGCCCAGCGGGCGGGCCAGGGACGTAATGAAACAAGAAGAGGCGCCATGAGATCTGGGGAGAAATCATGGCCCACGCCATGATACCCACCCCCCCTAGTCATCACCCCCCTCTTTTCCGCCCCCGAAGTCAGGCAGGCGGTGCTTTCCTGGACCTGGGTCGACTTCGCGCCCTCGCGCAGCCCCTGTGGAGAAGGACAGCCGCTCGGGCCCTGGCCGCGAGGCGCGAAGCGCGCTTCTCGCCGCACCCCCGCGGGCTGGCCCTCTGGCCTCTTCGCTCCTGCGAGTGCGTGCTGGCAAGAGGGAGGGCCGCGCCACGGCTGCCCTTGTCCAGGGCAGTCCGACAAGCCGGTGAGACCTGCGACAGCTCACAGGGCGAGCCCGCAGGGCTTGCCACCGTATATCGCAGGCCTGGATGTATCGTCAACTGTTGCACTGAGCGGTGGCGGCTGCGGTGACGGCGACGGCGACGGCGTCGGCGGCGCCGGAAGCGACGGCGACGACGCCGACCGCCGCTCTGTGCGGCGGTGGCGGCGGCAGCGACGACGGCGGCGACGACGGCGCCGTCGTCGGAAACGGCGGCGACGACGCCGACCGCCGCCGGGTTCCTGCTGCATGCCGCACGCGCCCGGCGCGGACGCGGCTGGCGCGGCCCCCGAGGGCTGGCCCTCGTGGCGGTGGACGACCTCCGTCTGGCGCGGGCCCATGACCTCGGGGCCGTCGCGGGCGGTGGGGGCTGGCGGCAGCGCTGCTCGGGGCCGCCACGCGCGGCGGGGTCAAGCTCTCGAGTGATTACGAGGCTCGAGCTCGAGCTTGTCTGGCGTGGCTTGTCTGAGGGGTCTGGTGTGAGGCTCTGCACGGACCGCTGCAGACGCCCCACGAAGACTGGGCCGTCACGGCTCCTGCTGGGACCATCGGCACGCGGCGGCAAACCCGAGTGCTGCCCGACTCGGATCTTACGTTTTGGTGGCGCGTGCGCTCTGGAAATCTGGGACATCGTGGGTGGAGAAGGCTGGGCTCTGGCAGGAGGGCGCGGCATCTATACACATGCACCGGTCCAGCGAGGACGGAGGAGGCAGAGGAGCGGCCGAGCCAGCATGGCCGCTTACACTGGGCAGAGATGAACCAGCTTGGCTTCTCAAGCGCGTCACAACCTCGGGGGCCGAATTCTGACAGCGAGGACTGGGAGGCAAGTGGACTGGGGGGCTACGGGGGAGCTCGGGCTCGGGCTCGAGCTCGGGCTCGTGCTTGGGTTCGTGTCTGGGCTCGGCCGTGGGCTCGATCTCGGGGTCGGGCTCGGATTTGTGCTTGAGCTCAGGCTCGGGCTCGAGCTCGGGCTCGCGGGAGAAACCGTCGAGGGACAGCAGATTCGAGCAGCAAATGTGGTCCCTATGTTTTGGGTCTTTGCCACCGTCCGCGCGGGGGGAAAACGATCTGGGGCAATGACGTAACTTTCTCCTGTCTCGGGCGCATCCTCATCCCCGCTTGCCTTCGTCTCCAACCAGTCTCACCGTCATCATTTCCATCGCTGCTAGCTCAGCACCACCGCGGCCGCCACCACGCCCGCCCTCACCCACACTCCCACCATCACTGCCGATGTCCCACCCTGGCTAGGGTTAAGTCGGGCGTGTCCCCCTCAGGGGGATTTTCGACGAAAAATTAAAATACTTAAAAAATACTCCAAAATGGTATTAAACAATATTCAAAAAATAGTCCCCAGACTATGTTTTGACTATTTTTAAATATCTCCACTGTAGAGAGACGGGCCCGACTTAACGCTAGGGCCCGGACGGCTATCGGAAGCGCCCGTGAAACCACTCTTTCCGTCGCAGCGCGGCAGAGGCAGCCCGCACGCGCGCTTCACTGTGCCAGGCAACGGCAGACACGAGCTGTCCGGCGGCAGGGAGGGAGGCCCGGGAGGAGCGCGGCCGCGGAGGGCGGGCACGGGGCGGAGGGCACCCGCGGCACGAGTGCGCCCGGAGTGGCGGGGCGGCCGTCCCTCGCCGACGAGGACGCGGGTCGGCCCGTGCAGCCACAGGTGAAGTGCAGTCGACCCGTAGCACGAGGATGCACGACAAGGGTGCACGGTTCGAGCGGGGCGCGGCCAGCGAAAGCGGCCAAGGATGGACCGAGGCAAGGATGCGAGGGTGACCTGGGCCAAGGATGGACCGAGGAGGCAAGGATGCGGCTGACTGTAGACCCAAGGCTTTCCCAGTGGCCCTCCAGCTCTCCGAGGGGCCCTGCGGTCGGGAACTCCTGCTTCGCGCGTCCGCGCGGGCGGCCTGGCGACACGCGCTCGGGAAACCTTGCAGGAGGGCCGCGCGTGGCTCCGCGCCGCCGGGGGGGGGGGGGGCGGGAAAGGCTCGGGACGTCGACGCCTGGAGACCGCGAAATGGACCGCGCGACGCGCCCCGCCCAACGGGTCGAAGCCGAGTCGCATTCGGACAGACAGGCAGGGTGGGCGGGTCTGGCTCCCCTCCCCCAGCCTACACCGACACACACGCCCACGCCCACGCCCACGCCCACGCCCACGCCCAGGCACAGGCACAGGCACAGGCACAGGCACGCACCACGCACCACGCAGCACACAGGCACACAGCACACAACACACTGCACCCCACAAAGCAAACCACCCAACACCCAACACACACTACACACCACACACTACACGCCACACTTACCACACTTACCACATTTACCGCACTCACCCCACACTTACCACACACACACACATAACACACACACCAAGTGGCACGCAACCCACAAACCACAACCCACAACATACTACACCTCACACCCCACACTACAAAACACACAACACATACACCACACACCACACACGCCACACACCACACATCAAACACCACATACCGCACTTACCACACTTACCACACTTACCACACGCACAACACTCACACCACATAACACACAGTCCACAAACCACAACCCACAACACACAACACACGCACAACACACAGCACACAGAACACACACAATACACATCATCACAACACACACACCACACACACCATACACACGATACGCAACACACAACGCAACACACACACACACCACTCTCCACACACACACACACGCACGCACGAGCGCACACACAACATCACACGCACACACACACACACACACCACAAACATATTGACACAGGCATGGATGCATGTGTATATATACATATATATATGCATGAGTATGTACACACATACCTACACATAGACATAACCACATGCATACACACGCACATCCATCAATACATCCATATTTTTGTACATATATACGTAGATGCATGCATGCATCTATGAATACATACATCCACACGTACGTACCTACGCACATGCGTACACACATACAGATGCACCTACTTGTTTACATAAACGAAGCATATATGCATCCAGCGCACGCAGCATGCCGTGCCCTCCCACGTTTCTTCTTTCGTTGGATGGTGTTGGTGGCTGAGGCTGTCAATGTGTGACGCACGTTCTGGCCCTGCTCTGGTGGGGCCTGGATGCATTAGTGTGAAGGGGCCCAAGGACACACACATACATACACACAAATAACAGGATTCCCGATCTTTACAAATATTTTCTGGGTTTCCGTCTTCCCCCCCAATGCCTATAGTTTCCAATATTTTTGGGGAGAATCGGCGATTAATTGTGTCTGTGTGTTTTTTCTCCTCCTGATCGTGGTGGACCTGCACCTCCCACTTGACCAGCCCAACGATCCCGGGGCAGCCCAAGACTCCAGGGTGGCTGGAGCCAGGGAGGGATGAACGCATCAGGCGCGGGAAGACTAGCCTGTCCAAATCCCCTAGAGCCCTTGCGACAGGTTCACGTCGCGAAGACGCCAGCCCTTGCTTTTGACACCGCGTGGATCATTCAATCTTGAACGATCGCGGCTTTCCAATGGCGCAACTCGTTCATTATCGGCCAACTGCGTGCCGCAAACGGCTTTCAATCTTGAACGCCTGCGCGGGGGTCGTCGCTGCGTCGACGCAACGCGAGCCTACGATACCCACACCCGCTTCATGGCAACCCCGTGGACCAGCTCAGCCAGCCAACATCTCACGCCTCGCTACAGGAAGAAACACCTGCGTACACATCCATGTTCGCAGGTCCGCGCGGATTTTGGATCGGCACCTGGGCCCACCTGGCGGCGCACATGAATGCTTCTGCAGCTGTTTCTTCCTCCTCCCCCTCTCCTCCTCCTCCTCCTCCTCCTCCTCCTCCTCCTCCTCCTCCTCCTCCTCCTCCTCCCCCTCCTCCTTCCTCCTCCTCCTCCTCCTCCTCCTTCCTCCTCCTCCTCCTCCTCCTCCTCCTCCTCCTCCTCCCCCTCCTCCTCCTCCCCCGCCCCCTCCTCCTCCTCCTCCTCCTCCACCTCCTCCCCCTCCTCCCTCCTCCTCTTCCTCCTCCTCCTTCCTCCTCCTCCTCCTCCCCCCCTCCCTCCCTCCTCCTCCTCCTCCTCCTCCTCCCTCCTCCTCCTCCTCCTCCTCGTCTTCTCTTCTTCTTCTCTTCTTCTTCTTCTCCTCCTCTCCTCCTCCTCCTCCTCCTCCTCCTCCTCCTCCTCCTCCTCCTCCTCCTCCTCCTCCTCCTCCTCCTCCTCCTCCTCCTCCTCCTCCTCCTCCTCTACTCCTCCTCCTCCTCCTCCTCCTCCCCTCCTCCTCCTCCTCCTCCTCCTCCCCTCCTCCCCTCCCCTCCTCCTCCTCCACCTCCTCCTCCTCCTCCTCCCTCCTCCTCTCTCCCCTTCCCCTCCCCTCCTCCTCCCTCCTCCTCCTCCTCCTCCTCCTCCTCCTCCTCCTCCTCCTCCTCCTCATCCTCCTCCTCCCTCCTCCTCCTCTCCTCCTCCTCCTCCTCCTCCACCCTCCTCCACCCTCCTCCTCCTCCTCCTCCTCCCCCTCCTCTCCTCCCCCCCCTTCTCCTCCCCCTCCTCGCCCCTCGCCCCTCCCCCCTGTGCCTGCGCGCCGATGACTTTTGCTCCCGCGGCTCGCGGCCGAGGCCGTGCCCCTGCAGCCGTGCGAAGTCCTCGCGGGCGTCGGCGCCGCGCCCCAGCGCCAGCTCCGCCAGTTCCGCCAGGGACACGGCGCGCAGCCCGCGCCGCTGCAGCCCGTCCTCCACGTGGGGGGCACGGGGGCACACCAAAGAGGACGCGAAAATCCCAGGATCCTCCAACTGTGCCATCTTTTCTGGATGTGCGTCTTCCCCTCCACTTGCCATGTGTGTCTTTCCACGTTTTCGTGGGACGCGACGGTCCTTTGTGTCTGTGTGTCGTTTTCCCTCCCGACGTCCAGCAGGACGCGCAGGGCCTCCAGGCAGTGCTCGCGGAAGCCCCGCTCGGGCATGTGCAGCAGCAAGATGCGCCGGGGAGGCATTCGGCCACGACCGGCGAGCCTATCCGTGATTCTCCGCGCCCTCGCGCTCTGGGACTCCGGGGCGGGATCCCGCGAATACGCGGTCGCACAGGTTGCGTTCCGCGCGGGGCACCCGCGAAACAGCAACGCCCCGCATCCGCGTGGTCGCGACCCAGGGGCCCGGCCCGCGATGCCGCAGAGACGGCTTTTCGCCCAAGCGCCGGTCGGCGGTGCGGCTCGACTGCCCACAGGGTGGCCAGGCCATTTGCTGCCAGGTGAGCGACGAGCCCGCTGGCGCCCGGCGGTCGATCCGTCGTCGGGGACCCCCCCCCCCCAGTCCCCCCCTTTCCCGGCCCGTCGTCGGGGAATCTCCCCCCCCCCCTCCACCCCTTTCAAAAGGGGGGGAGGGGGTTCTGATCCCCCCCCTCCCGCCCTTCGGAGCGCGGGGCGGCGGATCGACCGGGGTGGGGAGTGGCGGGAGGTGGGGAGGTTCGGCTCCACGCGCAGTCAAATCCCAGGTCCGCCAGAGGGCAGGGATCAGGGGAGAGGGACTGGGCCCCGTCGCGGCCGACCCCCCCCCCCCAAGTTGGCTCCGCCCCCAACTCCGCGGGCCGCTGCTGCGTAGCGCGCTGCGGCGCCAACGCGCCGACTGGATATTCGACGGATCGAGCCCGCTCGGCTCGCAATCGTTTGGAATCCCGAAGCGGTGCGGTGACAGACCGTGCGGTGACCTCGGAACCCCAAGAGACCTCACCGCACGGTTTTGGGACCCTGGAGGCCCCTGTCGCCCGAGACGCCCTCGGAGAAGGACTCGAGCCCCAAAACCGTGCGGAGACCCCGACTCCCCACCGACTCACCGCGCGCTGTGGTCACCGCACCGTTTAGGGCCACCCGAACTCGGAGTCGCCCCGAACTGGCAAGGTGCCGGAACCGAGCCCGAACGGCGCACAGCCGAACACAGCCCAGCAGCAGCAGCAGCAGCAGCAGCAGCAGCAGCAGCAGCAGCAGCAGCAGCAGCAGCAGCAGCAGCAGCAGCATCATCATCATCATCATCATCATCATCATCATCATCATCATCATCATCATCATCATCAGCATCATCATCATCATCATCATCATCATCATCATCATCATCATCATCATCATCATCATCATCACATCATCCATCATCATCAGCATCATCATCATCATCATCAACATCATCAACATCATCATCTCGTCGTCATCATCATCATCATCATCGTCATCATCATCAGCATCATCATCACCATCGTCATCGCATCATCAGCAGCAGCATCATCAGCATCATCATCAACAGCAGCATCACATCATCATCCCTCCTCCTCTCTCCTCTCCTCCTCTCCTCCTCCTCCTCCTCCTCCTCCTCCTCCTCCTCCTCCTCCTCCTCCTCCTCCTCCTCCTCCTCCTCCTCCTCCTCCCTAGCCGGCGGCGGCGGTGCCGGGAGAGAGAGCGCTCCTGCCCAACGGCAGGGCCGCCGCAGAGGGCGGCGAGCCGTGGCCTCAGAGCCTGCGGCCGCCGGGCCGAGGCCGAATGCGCCCCAGGGGGTGGAGCCGTGGACCGCGCGGCGTGCCAGGAAGTTGCCGATCCACTCGCCGTCCTGTGGGTGGCCAGCAGGCGCCGCCCGCCCCCCCCCCCCCCTTTCCCGCACACGCGCACCCCTCTCTTTTGTGCAGGACGCGCCTGCCCTTAAGTCGGGCGTGTCCACCTACAGCGGGAATTTGGGCGAAACACGAAACATAGTCCAACAATACTCCCGAATTATCATTTTTTGTTTTTTTGTTTTAAAGTATCCCCAGACTATTTTTTTACTGTTTTTAAAAGTTCCTCCTGTAGAGGGACAGGCCCGACTTACGCCTGCCCCGTCCGCTCCTGAGCATGCGCCCCTTGACAACCTCCCCTTAAGTCGGGCGTGTCCCCATACAGGGGATTTCCGGGCGAAAAACAAAACATATTCAAACAATAATAAAAAGATGCCCAACATATTCAAACATTAGTCTCCAGCCTTTAAAACAAAAACATATGTTTGAATATTCCCCCTGTAGAGGGTCAGGCCCGACTTAAACCTCCCCCTCTCCCCGCCCTGTCCCCGAGTGGGCAGGCTCGCGCACCGCGTGGACACCCGCAGTGGCCCTTTTCTTGTGGCCGTCCCTCGCCCTCGCCAGCGTTGCCCTACGTCGGGCCTGTCCCCCGACAGGGGGATGTTGGACGAAACAGCGAAAAGTACCCCGCAAATACCACCAAACTATCCCCTAAATACCCTGACAAATACCCCGCCCGCCCTCACCCACACTCCCACCATCACTGCCGATGCCCCACCCTCGCTAGGGTGAAATCGGGCGTGCCTCCCTACAGGGGGATTTTGGACGACAAACGAAAAATACCCCCAAAATGCAGCCAAATAGTCAAAACATACTCCAAACATCGTCCTCAGAGTTTTTTGTTTTGACTATTTTTGAATATTCCTCCTGTAGGGGGACAGGCCCGACCCACCCACCGGAATTTTCCCAGCTGTGCCAGCTGCTTGGCATACCCACCCACCGGAACTTTCCCAGCTGTGCGAAAGTCAACGTCCACGATCAAGACAACACATTCGGCCCTTCCCATCCTCGACCACGGGGTCGCTGGCATAGCAATCGCACATCGTGTTGGTCAATAGCCGCTCATGAAGTACATCCTCCATGCTCTCCGTGTACTTGCCGTGCGGCGCGCGGAACCAGCGCGCGCAGGCGGGGACGCCAGCGGATCGCTGGATCTCCTTTATCTGCTCGTTGCAGGAGTCCTGCAACGGGCAATGCATGTTTGACAATGCACAATTCGACCAAGATGGAGGAACGGGCGAATCATGGTGCATAAACTTGAAAAAAAAACACCCGTGCAGTCGATGCACAGGCCCACTGTTTCAGAACAAGTTCGTGCCTTCATCGCTGGGACATCTCGGGCTTCGTTTTGGCCATGGATTCTTGCAGTCTGGCCGAAACCTTCCCTCATGTAACAGTGAGCATCCAGGGGATGCTGGCATCAACATCCAAACAAACTTTTGAAAACGAACAAGGTGCAGCGCTTTCGCTGGAAACACATGCTCGCGCTTCTATGGCCTCATCCTGCCAGAATGCCAGATCCCGCCAAACTCCATTCCCCTGCTCCCGAGTCCCTTCAGGCACGTCGGTAAAGCTGGGGAGGTGCAGAGAGGCAGAGGGGGAGGGCCAGTCATCACATCATGACAGCGTGTTGGCAACCATAAGGGGGGGGGGAACACTAAACAAAAACCAGCCCCGACAGAGGCAAAGGAGGTGGGGGGGAGGGGAACTTTTGAACATAGCAGCCTGGACAGGGGCAGACGAGGATGCGCCGGACAAGCAGGAGGATTGGGCAGGTGGGGGCGGGGGGGGGGCGGAGGAGGAGAGATGAGGAAAAGGGCGATGAGCAACGTCAGCCGGCAGGAGGAGCCAGCGGGAGAGGGCGACGAGGGGCGAAACGCGCCCCCTTCTGCGGCCCCCTACACTCCCACGCGCCCCGGCGTGCATCTTCCCACCCGCTGCACATCCCTGAGGACGTCCCAGATGGACACGGCATCTACTGGGCTCGCCTGCTGGTTGTCAGAGTGGGTCGCCCCTGCAGCCGTAGGATGCCCCCCCCTTGGGAACTTGCGATTCAACGATCAACCCCCACACGGATCCTCTACGAACGCAACGCCCTAAACCCAACATTGCTCGATTCTGAATGTCCCTGGACGACCCCTCCCACGTCACAGCGCGTCTCGGGCGTGCCAGATTTACGTCGGGCGTGCCCCCTACAGGGGGGTTGCGACGAAAAATAAAAAAAAACGCAACACGTACTCCAACATGGTAACAAAAATACTCAAACTATGTTTGGACTATTTTTGAATTTCCCCCCTGTGTTTGAACTATGTTTGGACTATTTTTGAATTTTCCCCCTGTAGAGGGCAGGTCCGACTTAATGCCAGATGCTCCAGCTTGCCCGATCGTCTCTTTCTCCCTCCGCCCGCTTGCCGCACTCTTCCGCCGCGTGCCTCCTGCTCCGAATCTCTGAGTCGCGCCTGACTCCACGCCAATCCTCCTCCTCCTCCTCCTCCTCCTCCTCCTCCTCCTCCTCCTCCTCCTCCCCCCCCCTCCTTTTCCTAGTCCTCCTACTCCTCCTCGCTTCTCCTCCTCCTCGCTTCTCCTCCTCCTCCTCCTCTTCCCCCCCTCCCTTTCCAACTCCTCCTACTCCTCCTCGCTTCTCCTCCTCCTCGCTCCTCCTCCTGGCTCCTCCTCCTCCTCCTCGCTCCTCCTCCTCCTCCTCCTTCTCCTCCTCCTCCTCCCTCCTCCTCCTCCTCCTCCCTCCTCCTCCTCCTCCTCCTCCTCCTCCTCCTTCTCCTCCTCCTCCTCCGTGTGTACTGAGCTTCACGCCGCGCCGCGCCATCTGCGTGAGCCACAGTGCCTGTGAGCACCACCGAAAACGCGACACTTGCGGTGCGCGGCGGCGCCAACTGAAGGGACCCAAGGACACAGATAAATAAATACACACACGAATCCCAGGATCCCCCTACAGTTTCCATCTGAGTTTTCGTCCTGGGCCCCCACACGTCCTATATTTTCCTATATTTGCTCGGGGGTCGACGATTCATCGCGTCTGTGTGCTGTCTCCTCTCCTGACCAGCTCGGTCCGTGGAGATGTCGGGGTTCTCCCTTTGTGGGCCCCGGAAACGGCAGGGCCGCTTTTTCACCGTTTCCAAAAAAAGGCCCCCTGGAAATGGAAACGGCAAAAAAACGGCGACCGGAAACAGCAACAAAAACGGCAGATTGGAACTGGAGCCGGAACCGGTCAAAAAACGGCGACGGAACCGGTAAAAAAACGGCGTTGGAACCAGCAAAAAAAGGCAAAACGGAACCGGTAAAAGAACGGCCCTGTCGTTTCGAGGGCCCACTAAGGGCTCTCCTGAACCCTCAACGGCTTCAGCTTCGGAGGCCGCTGGCCTCTGGGGAGGGGGTGGGAAGCTGTGGCAGATCGTGCGCCCGTCGGCCAGCATCGTCGGGTCGGCCAGGCGCCCCCCCGATCGAGCTTGCCGAAGGGGGGGCCCATACGGTCCAGGCGTTGACCGAAGGAACCCTAAATAAGGAACGAGGCCCCTTCGATCCACAAGTTGAACTTCGATTTCCCATCAAAAACCAAAGGACAACCCAAGGCAAACTGTGAAGCAATCAAGGAACACGGAGCCCCTCCCCAACGAAAAGGGTTCCTTCTTCAGGGCCCCGACTGTACAATTGGACTCTCGGCCGCCGCGGACCGAAAGGCTCTTTGCCCCCAGACCCTAAGCCCTCGCGGTGTCCACGGCCGCGGCGAACTCCTCCGGGCTGTCCTCGTGGTACGGCCTGTCGGCCACGGCGTGGTTGCAGAGCTCGTGGCCCTCGCGCACGAGGCGCACCAGGTCTGCCTCCGGGGGCCTCCCAGAAGGGGTCGGAGGAGCTCGCCGCATCGCCCAGGCATCGCCGATGCATGGGCGACGATTGCGAGGCAACGGCGACGTCGGCGAGGAGAAGGTCGGGCTCCACATCGAGTCGGATATCCCGATGCATCGATGATGCCGCGCGCTCCTCCGACCCCACCTGGTTGGAGCCCATCTGAGAGGCCTACGGCCTCGCTTGGAGTGCCACGTGGGACCTGCCCTAGAACAGGAACGCGCCGTAGACCGATCTACCCTGTCTCCGACCTTGTAATTACTGCAAAAACGCAACTGCCGCGTTGTCTATAGACGCATACACCCCGAATGTCGTCGTATGAGTACGTAACGACACCAAGTGTGTCCATTGGCGCTTGTGGCTAGCAAATGGGAACTGTATTTGGCAGAGGCCCCAGATATCCGCCACCGTGCCTGCAGCACGTAGTGCATTGCCCCAAGGCTCATTCAACCCAGAGAAATTCAGACTTGTAGAGTTTCAAAAACCTTTAAGGACTTCCGGGGACTCGCCCAGATTCCCCGGGACTTCCGGGGATTCCCCAGAATGCGAAGGCGTCCCAAGAGTGTTCCAAGAGGCGTCCCAAGAGGGCCCCGAGATCGCCCCGAGACGGCCCTCAAGAGGGCCCCACGGCAGACCGAGAGAGCTCCAAGACGGCCCAGCAGGCGCCCAAGACGGCCCAAGAAGGCCAAAGGACGGCCGCAACAGAAGGCCCAGATGGGGAACCCGAGCGGGCACTTTCTAGCCCTCGGCCCCGGGCCCCCCAGGAGCCCCCAACAAGAGGCCCCCACGAGGCCCCCAACAGGCCCCGAGTTGCTCCCAAGAGGCTCCCAGAAGCCCCCAGGAGGCCCCCAGGAGGCTCCCACGAGGGCCCCCAAACTGCTCCCGCGAGGCCCCCGAGAGCGATCCGAAGAACCCTCCCTGGGAACTCTCTGACCCACAACCCGGGCACAGTGGCGGAATGGGCAGAAGGCCACCTCCTCCCTCCTTCCTTCCCTCCCTTCCCTCCTTTCCCTCCCTGCACTCCCTTCCCTCCTTTCCCTCCCTTCCCTCCCTTACCTCCCTTCCCTCCCTTCCCTCCCTCCCTCCCCTCCCTCCCCTTCCCTCCCTCCCTTCCCTCCCTTCCCTCCCTCCCAAGCAGGCAGACTTTGCCCTCCGACGCCTCGTGCCCGCGGACGGAGCCGCCCATGAGGAAGAAGCTCGCGCGGGCCCCTCGCGTGGAGCCAAGCCCGACTTACTACGCGAGACGCCAGCCGCACACCTGCAACGGCCGCGGCCAGCACTGCGAGGCCAGGACGGGGGCAGCATCGGACACGTATACCTCGGGCAGCTCTGAGATCCGGCGGTTCTGGGTACGCGGTCTTCTCAGATCGTTCCAGGAAGCTCTGGGAGCGCTCCGGAACGCTCCGTGACAGATCTGTGAAGTTGTTCTTTTTACTCGGGCAAGTTTACTTGCATGGCATTTCCCCCTTCCGCCCCCCCTCCCCACCCTCCTCCGCCGCCTGTTCCAGGAAGGCCGGGCTGGAACGGCGTGCAAGCGAGTCCCGACTTGCGTGAAGTCCATATTCCTTTCCGGGCCTCACCACGCCCACCCCCTCCCCCCCTCCATGCAGGTAAATCTGCCAGAATCTGAAGAACTGCCTCCGAGAAATTCGCGCGGATCTCCGAACATCTATGCTCATGTCGATGGTTTCAAGATGGAGTCCTGAGGAGTCCCAAGGGCGAGGTGCCTCAAACATTGTAAATCCACCCTTGGATCCATTCCTGTCCTTCGGACCCCTCCCCTCAGGAAATCATCTTTGAACCACCGACCTGCCAAAATCTGAAGAACTGCCTCCATCCTTGTCCTGGGATGAGAGGCAACGAAAGGGGGAGAGTGGCATAGGGGGGAAACATCGACCTGGAATCGACGATACATCGCCGATAGACCGGCGATAGCCCCCCGATCGTGAATCCGCGCGTTCTTGGACGAGGTGGGGCTATCAAGTCCCTATCGGCGATCAGTGAGCGGCTGTTGGTCGGTGCATCCCCCCCTTGCTTGGGTCGGGCATGTCCCCCTACATGCGCTTTGTGGGTGAACATCCGTGCAAAAATATCAAAAACATCCAGAGATGGCCAGAAATACCAGAAAGATCGTCCCCAGACTATTTTGTTGACTATCTCTGACCGTTTTCCTGTAGAGGGGCACGCCCGACTTGCCCCTATGCCCGTCCCCCCCCTGCCGTTGCCCCTGCTGGCCCCGCCCGGGCCCGGCCCGCCCTGGGCCCGGATGCCAGTGTGCACGCTCCCCTGGCTTGGCCGGGGAGGCGTGCACGCGCCGGTCCTGGCCCCAGGAGCGGCCTCTGGTCTGGGCCGGAGCGCCGCGAGTGCACGGCTGACGCCCTGTTTGAGACGAGAGGGCTTCTCCGAAGGGCTTAGGCGACCCGTCCTCCTCCTCCCTCCTCCTCCTCCTCCTCCTCCTCCTCCTCCTCCTCCCTCCTCCTCCTCCTCCTCCTCCTCCTCCTCCTCCTCCTCCTCCTCCTCCTCCCTCCTCCTCCCTCCTCCTCCTCCTCCTCCTCCTCCTCCTCCTCCTCCCTCCTCCTCTCTCCTCCTCCTCCTCCTCCTCCTCCTCCTCCTCCTCCTCCTCCTTCCTCCTCCTCCTCCTCCTCCCTCCTCCTCCTCCTCCTCCTCCTCCTCCCTCTCCTCCTCCTCCTCCTCCTCCTCCTCTCCTCCTCCTCCTCCTCCTCCTCCTCCTCCTCCTCCTCCTCCTCCTCCTCCTCCGTCTATGGCTGCTCGCCTGGGTGGAGGCTCGCCGCGGGGCGCGCAATCTAGGCGGATCATGCCGCCCACCATTTTGGCGAGATCACTGGGCACGCCTGCAGAGGGCGGGACCTGGGCCTTCAATCTCGCGCAGCCGATGGGCGAGCAAGCTCTGGACAGCGCGAGCACGGTCTCGTTCTCAGCGGGGTCGAGGAGGTAGGCGTGAGTAACGAGGCGCTCGGCTAGGAGGGCGTTGTGGGAGAGGGACTTCTGACTGACTTCCTCGTGAGTGCGCGCCGCGCGCGAATCCACAGCGAGAGTCTTCGTGGCGTCGCCCCCGCACGCGTGAACCGAATCTAACTCGATGGGAACCTCATCCTCGTCCCTCCTCACCAGGCGGTGTAACAACTATGCGCCAGTCAGCTGTGACATCCCCAACACAGCTAAACTCGTCCTTGGTCTTTTCAAGGACTATATCGATGTGCCGAGCGAGAACCTTGACGGCGCGCGGTTCCCCCTGAAGAGCGCCCACTTCATGCTCGGCGGAGAAGAAACCGTCGGGACCTTGAAAGGCGACGGCGGATCTGCGAACACTCTGCTTTTCCATCTTGCACCCCTCGGGCCTTCATGATGGCCTGGCTCGTGCTTGCAAGATGGGTTCACTCGGTGCCACCGAAAGAATTGCTGATATCCTCGCGATCCCTTATATGATGCAAACCAAGGCGGCGGAGGCGCCACCTCAAACTTTGCCGGATCAACATCGGAATCTCTCGTCGTCTGCCTGCTACACAACCGTGAGCAACGAGGGACTCACGGTTCCACTGGTCTGGGCGCAACCCCGTTGCAACGAAGGCAGTGCCAAACGGGCACTGAACGTTCACAAGCCATAAAGCCGATGGCGATGCCTTGCGACAGATGCCATGCCACGGAGGTTGCCCGGATCGCTACACACGGTGAAGAAACGCTTTCAAGTAGTATCTAGTCCGCTTCTGGTCGATCGTGGGGCTCTCGTGCCCTAGGCTTCGAAGCTTCTTGGAAGTTCGCCCGTATGGGGCGCGAGAGCATTCGGAAGAGCTCGGTGGGGGTCGGACCACGGGGGTCCGCCCTCTTCCGACCATCAGTCCGAACACACAATGAATAGGATATTCTCACTGGCCAACTGGATTCCACCACCCCTCTGATTCCTGCAACCAATCGATAAAGGTGGCCTGGAGGCCTCTCTGGCAAGCAGGTCGCCCAAACCTAGCTTTAAGGTCTCAGATCAGGAGGCGGTAGAAGGAGGAGGAGGAGGAGGAGGAGGAGGAGGAGGAGGAGGAGTTCTATTCTATTCTATTCTACCTCTATGCGTGGTGACCTGCAGCTAGGCGGGGCACGCTGGAGGAGGAGAGGAGAGAGGGAGGAGGGAGGAGGAGGAGGAGGAGGAGGAGGAGGAGGAGGAGAGCAGGAAGGAGAGAGGGGATGAGGAGAAGGAGGAGGAGGAGGAGGAGGAGGGGAGGAGGAGGAAGGAGGAGGAGGAGAGAGGGAAAGAGAAAGAAAGGAGAGGAGGAGGAGGAGGAGGAGGAGAGGGAGGACGGAGGAGGGAGAGGGGAGAGGGGAGGAGGGAGGAGGGAGAGGGGAGGAGGAGGAGGGAGGAGGGAGGACGGAGGAGGAAGGAGGGAAGGGGGAGGAGGAGGAAGGAGGAGGAGAAGACGGAGGAGGAGGAGGAGAGGAAGAGGAGGAGGAGGAGGAGGAGAGGAGGAGGTGGAGGAGGGAGAAGAGGAGGAGGAGGAGGAGGAGGGGGAGGAGGAGGAGGGAGGGGGGAGGAGGGAGGAGAAGGCGGAGGAGGAGGAGGAGGAGGAGGAGGAGGAGGAGGAGGAGGAGGAGGAGGAGGAGGAGGAGGAGGAGGTGGATGAGGAGAAGAGGAGGAGAGGAGGAGCAACACATTTGTTATTGCACTCTTGGGGCCCGTGCCCCTCGCAGCCAACAGCCTTGACAATCGAAAAAATTCTGCGCTGCGATCCTGCTTGTGGGCCAGGAGGGAGGCGGGCGAGGATGAAGAGGAAGAGAGAGGAGCAAAGAGGGCGAGGAAGTGGGGGAGGGAAGGCGAGGAGGGGGAGGAGGAGGGAGGGCGAGGACGAGGGGGAGGGGAAGGAGGAGGGAGGGCGAGGAATAGGGGGAAGGGCAGGGGGGGCGGGGAAGAGCACACAGGGGCCGGGCAAGGCGGGGCGCAGTATGGGCGGGGCGCAGGTCTTGTGCCCCGGAGCCTCGGGCGCGCAACAGGTCTGCCACGTCGGGGATCCGGGAGCAGGCCTGGGGGAGGCCCCGACAGGGCGAAACAGATCCACTTCCTCTCCCTCCTCGCCCTCATCCTCCTTTTGCTCCTCCTCTTCCTCCTCGTCCTCGTCCTCGTCCTCGTCGTCCTCCTCCTCCTCTTCCTCCTCCTCCTCCTCCTCCTCCTCCTTCCTCCTCCTCCTCCTCCTCCTCTTACGGGCATCCGGGAGCAGGCCTAAGGGGAGGCGTGGCCGCAGGACCGCGGGGGCACTGACGAAGCACGAGAGCATGCAAGACAAAACCAGGGCGAGGCTGGCATCGGCTGAGATTGACCGCGGCAGGTCTGTAGAACCCCAGGATAGTTGAACAATGATAATTTTATCGGCGGCCTTGTTGATGGACTGGGGCCCCACCGACTGTTGAAAATAACTATTTCTCCTCGGCACCGGCCGCACAACACCGACGACGCCGACTACGACTATGACTACGATTATGATTGTGACTACGACTACGACTACGACTACGACTGCGACGACAATCGCAACCGCAAGCACGTTTGCAATCACGGTTTCAACTACGACTATAATCACGACTACCAAAGCCACTGCTGCCGATTGCAATATTTATGAGGAACTACTCGCGAGTCTTCTCGCGTGTAGGGTCGCCCACAAAGGATGATCCCCTGGGAGAAAAAGCAACCCAACATTATCCAGCTCGCCCAGCAATGCAGGGAACATGCTCTCCACCGCCGCCGACGCCGACGACGACGACGACTACGACTACGATGACGACCGCGAGGATGAGCAGAAGGACGAGGAGGATGAAGCGCAGGAGCGGTGGGAGGGAGAGCGAGAGAGGAGGAGAAGGAGGACGAGGAGGAGGAGGAGGACTGAGGGAGTAGGGGAGGAGTATTGATGATGATGATGATGTATGATGATGATGATGATGTTATGAATGATGATGATGATGATGATGATGAGGATGAGGAGGAGGAGGAGGAGGGAGGAGGAGGAGGAGGAGGAGGAGGAGGAGGAGGAGAGGGAGGAGGGGCGAGCTTGAGTTCCGCCGAGAGAAGCACACCTGGGGGAGGGGAACAAAACTAAAGACCTCCTGCGGTTGAGTCGAGGATCTCTTAGATCCGGCAGCTCTGAAGGATGCCTCGGGCGCCACGGCCTTCGGAGAGCGCTGCGGAACGCTCTGAAAGCGTTCGGAACGCTCTCCTGAAGGGATTTGTCCTCATCCTAGCCCCGCCCGACCAGGGGGAGGCAGGCGCCAGGGCCGCGAGGGCACGGACCGAGCACGAGAGCACGGCCGACCGAGTGAACAGCCGCATGCAGAAGTGTTCCCCTCCCTCTCTTCGAGGCGATGTATCTTGGATTTCTGGCGAAATTGCTTGCGTGAGGGGGGGGGGAAGGAGTGGCGGTGGTGGTGAGGCCTGAACAGAAATCTTGACTCCACGGACCTCGGGGCCTTTCCATCCCAGCGTTCGTGCAACAGTCGGCGGAGGGGGTGCGGGCCGGGGGGAATGCCATGCAAGTGAGCTTGCCTAAAGCCTGAATCTAAAGAAACAAACCTCCTCGCGCTCCTCGTTCAGCCGAAAACGCAATCAACTTGAGAACGCGGCCAAGCGTGGAGATCCGACATCGCGCATGATGTTTGCCTTCTCGCCTTTTCGCTTGCGATACGGTTTTGGGACTTCAAGATGGCCGAGGAAGAGCCCCACGAGGGGCCCAAGAGGCCCCCAAGACGGCGCAAGAACCGCTCAAGAGCGCCCCAAGAGGCGATCCAGACGGCCCCAGAAAAAAGGGGATGCATATCGAGGACCCCCAATATTTTTTTTCGACGCCCTCCGGGATGGCCCCAAGGGGCCTCGACCCCGGAAGGCGCCCTACAGGGTGGAGCCTGGCGCCCGCGGCGGGCGCCTGGGCCCACCCTGGAAAAGGCCCCGCGCGCGTGCCTTCGGCGGTTCTCTCTCTCTCCCCATCCCTCACTCCCTCCCTCCTCCATCCTCCTCCTACCTCCTCCCCTCCTCCGCCTCCCTCCTCCCCCCTCTCTCCTCCTTCCTCCTTCCTTCCTCTACCTCCTCCTCATCCCTCCTGCTCCTCCTCCTCCTCCTTCTCCTATCTCCTCTGCCTCCCTCCTCCCTCCTCCTCCTCTCCTCCTCTCCTCCTCCTCCTCCTCCTCCTCCTCCCTCCTCCTCCTCTTCTCCTCCTCCTCCTCCTCTTCCTTCCCTCCTCCTTTCCTCGCCTCCTCCTCCTCCTCCTCTCCTCTCCTCCCTCTCCTCCCTCCTCCTCCGCCTCCGTACACCTCCTCCCCCTCCTCCCTCCTCCCTTCCTCCATCCTCCCTCCCCCTCCTCCCTCCCTCCTCCCTCCCTCCTCCCCTTCCCCTCCCTCTTCTACTCCTCTCCCTCCTCCTCCTCCCTCCTCCCTCCACCCTCGTCCCTCCTCCACTGCTCTCTCTTCTCCTCCCTCGTCCTCCTCCCTCCTCCTCCCTCCTCCTCCTCCTCCTTCTCCTCCTTCTCCTCCTTCTCCTCATTTTCCACATCTTTTTCATACTTTTCGTCCTCCTCCTCCTCCTCCTCCACCCTTCGAGGCAGCTCGCCGTGGGGGCCCCGCTTGGTCCCATCCCTCTGGGCCCCATCTGTGAGCGCTCGCATGCCGCCCAGTGGCAAGCGTGCGCAGGCGCACGACAACGTCGCGCGCGGTCGGAGGCGGCCGGGGGTCCTTGACTGGAGGGGCCCCGAGGAGACTTGTCAAGAAGGGGGTTACCAGCCTGGAACATATCCCTATCCCTATGCTGGGCACCTCCTCATCACGATGCCAATCTTAGGGATTCCCTTGTTTTTTGAAGGCGAATCCCTAAGATTGTCATCGCCTTTTGGCGTGTCGGTCTTAGGGATAGGGATACGTTTGAGGCTGGTAAGGGGTGGCAAGGGCAGACCCGCTCAAAATCGGTCTTCGGGCCCCTCCCGGCTGGTGCAGCTTTTCAGCTCGGGTCCGCTCCTGACCGTCCCGGCGCCCGAACACTGCCCCCAGAGCTTGGGAGAGGCACAGGACCTCATCGATCCCAGGCCCTCGAACCTTGAGCCCCCCCGCTTAGACGAGCGCGTTCCACTACTCGCACAAGTGAATGCTCGCAAATGGCCTTGATTCGCCGCGGAGGATCTACGATCCACTACATCGAGGCAAACATGTGCTTTTTAGACGTTTGCGAGTGAACACTTTGCGACTAGATGGAACGCTCGCGGTGACTTGACCGGACCTGGTTTGGGCCACGTCAAATGTGGACGCCCGAAATAGGTACGGAAAAATGGGTACAATTCCCAGCAACATATGTTGTCCCAAACCATCAGCGGCCGCCGTTGGGCAGGGGGTCTTCTGACCCAAATGGGCACAGGCCGCGGCGGCACGGACAGCGAGTCCTGTCCAAAATGATCAGGAACTGCTGTTGAGCATTGCTTGAGCATGGACCGGCCGCCCCAGCATTTCTATAGGCCTACTACGAAGTTTTCTGAGAACCCAAACATGTTCTAATAACAAAAACAATGTTCTTAGAACGTGAGCCCGATGTGTTGAAAACAAGACGGTCCCAGCCAGAAATGTTCTAAGAACATTCCGTGGAAACCACACGAGGTTCTTAGAACATTGTTTGGTGGGCCTATAGACGTAGGAGCTCCGAGCGGACTTCTCGGATCGGCGCTGGACCGCCCTCCCTGGCGCGCGGACCGGCCAGGTGCGGCGCCGGAGGCGCCGCCGGGGGGCCCCAGCGCCGATCCGAGAAATCCGCGCGGACCTCCGAGGTTTTATGCTCATGCCACTTGCTGCTCCCCCTCCTTCTCCCTGCAGAAAGAGGGGGAGGAGGAGGAGGAGGAGGAGGAGGAGGGGGAGGGTCAGAAAGAGGAGGAGGAGGAGGAGGAGGAGGGGAGGAGGAGGAGGAGGAGGAGGAGGAGGAGGAGGAGAGGAGGAGGAGGAGGAGGAGGAGGAGGAGGAGAGGAGGAGGAGGAGGAGGAGGAGGAGGAGGAGGAGGAGGAGGAGGAGGAGGAGGAAGGGGAGGAGGAGGAGGAGAAAGAAGGAGGAGAGGAGGACGAGGAGAAGGAGGGCGAGCCAGGACGCCTCGCCACTGCTCGAAGCTCGCTCGTGCCGAGAGCAGCCTCCCGCCGGCTCCACGCGCGCAGGGTGCGGCCGCCCCGCCCAGCGACGGGGGGCATCCCCACTGTGAGCGGGGCCGTCGCCGCCGGCGTCCGCGGGCGGCGGCCGTGGCCACAGGACGTCCGCCGAGGCATCGGAGCCCAAGAAACCTACGCCTGGCCCCGGCATCCACACCCCATGGAGCCTCTGCTCTTGGGACCCCCCACCTCACATTTTCTCGCACAAGATCGACCGACCCCCCCCCCCTGCCCCCCACCACGCCCCCACCTGGCCCGGGCATCCCCATCCCATGGAACCTCCTGGCCACGGACGTCCGTGGCCGCTGAGGTCTGGTGTGGGAGCGTCGCGCGCGTTCCACCGCAGAGGCATCGGAGCCCAAGAAACCTGCAGTCAACCATGATACCGTCGGGGCGTTGACCTAAGGAACCCCAAATAAGGAACGAGGCACCTATTTTCCATAAGTTGAACTTCGATCTCGTACCGAAAACCTAAGGACAATCCAAGGCAAGCTGCGAAAAAATTAAGGAACACGGAGTCCCTCCCCATGAAAAAAAGGGTTCCTTCTTCAGGGCCCCGACTGTAGCAAGGATGGGGCAGCTTTCCAGGGCTGCTCTTGTCTCCTTGCCCCTTCGGTGTTCGGCATCCTTCGGCATTCTGCTGTGCTCCGCACGGGAGGCGTCAACGTGGCGGTCCAAGGCCCCTGCATCCCTCCCTACCGCGCATCCTTGCTGTCCCGGTCGAGTGTAGGGCTCCCTGGAGGCACGCAGGTCGTTTTTGTTGGGGCATGGGCCTCCACTGTGCAGCCTCCTGGCGCGCGAGGATGTAGGGCAAGCCTTGCGATGGGAAGCTGCGGCGTACAAGGCAAGCGCCCAGGCGGGGGGCGGCGCGACGGCAAGATAAGCACGGGCGCCCTTCAAGACGGACGAAGTCCTCCTGAAACAAGACGAACCATCATACGCATGCACTTCTGGGGTTATGTTGCTCCCATCGGAGCCCAGACATAGTTTCGAGCAGCCAGACAAGTATCCAAACAGTGTCGAACGACTATCGCCTCCCAGGGCCCGACACGTGCAAACCCTCGAGTTTCGATACCTTCTGGGTGATCGAAATTCTCTCTGGTGCCCAACGCTAAAGTAGGTTGGTAGGTTGAAGCATCATAGTTCTGGGGGCGGATTTCTTGGATCGGCGCTAGGCTCCCCTCCTCAGGCGAGTCTAGGAAGATCTTGTTTTATTGCTCATGAAAAGTTAAACCATGCCCAACACATGCTTTGCTTCAACATCGTCCCCCGATTTTTGTTTGTGTTCAAACTATGTTTGGATGTTTCTCCTGTGGAAGGAAAGTCAGGCGTTGGCAGGACTGGGTTCAACGGGACCTGGTTTAGTGATGTGTACTGGGGGACGCACTCTCGCCCCATTCCACCAACCGGAACTGCCGTCACCCGAAAAAAACACCAGCTACGGAGACCTGGTTTAGTGATTCGGGCCAACTTAGAGGCTCGGGAGCCGTTCTACTAACCGGGTCCCCTTACCTGGGCTTCTGGCTATACCCGAGAAAGGCCCGACTTACATCTACGCTCGATGTTCTTTTCGCGAGCCCCCTGCCCTGCTCCCTCGCCTTCCTCTTCCCGAACTGGCCTGTGGCAAGCGGCCTGGCGCGTCGTCTATGGTCAGCGCCACGTGCCCAGCCACCTGGGATCTCGCGTCGCGGTTGCTCTCTCCCCCCTCGGTGAGGTCTGCGGCAGGACGGCCTTTTCGCTCGACTCGAGCCACGGGATGAGCTCGAGCACACCCCGCTGACCACGTCGCACAGTTCTGGAACGACGACCGCATGCCTTGCCGACCCCGCACAGCACAACAGCAATGACCACATCCGCCACAACATTGATGCAAGCCAAGGCGACCGCATCACGGGGGGAAATTGACCAACCTCGAGCGCATCCCCATCCCTTAGACCGACAAGCCAAAAAGCGATGACAATCTTAGCGATGCGCCTGCATAAACTGAGGTAATCCTCAAGATCGGCGTCGAGATAAGGCGAATGTCAATCGTAGGTATAGGTGCCAGGTTGGTAAGAACTGACGGGGCACCCCAACGCTCAAGACAACCAAGCGCGACATCGCACCGAGACCAGGACGCTCGGCCCGCCGCGCTGGGGAACCGCTGCGCGTCGAAAAAGCACAGCGACGTGTTCCGCAATGGCGACGCCGAGAAAAGCCTGACACCGGCGAAGTGTAAGATCACACCCCTGAGGTCTCGATCCCACCGACGGGACCGGCTTCTCGTCCCGAGTCGTTTTCTGACGGCCCCGAGGCCTGGCAAGGGCCCCCACAGGCCGGAAACAGCGGAAATCCTCCCGTCGCGATTTTTTCTTTGCACGCCGCGAGAGGGTCCCAGAGCAGCCTGACGGTGTACCGGCAGAACGTAAAGTCCATCGTCCTCTTCAGCAAGAGCTGCTTGGCACGGCTCCTGGCAGGAGGCAGCAGGGGCGCGTCGCCACTTCTCAGCAGCGCCTCCGCGGCGCCCCGATCGGGGGCCGAGCCCGTCTTCTGCCGGGGGCGTCCAGGAGGGGAGCGCCCCAGAGGTTGGTGGGCTTCTTTTCCACCGCCACCACCACAAGTGCGAGGGGGAGGGGGTCCTCCTCCTCCTCCTCCTCCTCCTCCTCCTCCGCCTCCTCCTATCCTCTTCCTCTCTCCCCCCTCCAACTTATTGTGGTGATGGTGGAAAATGCGCCCATCAGAGGGGGGTCGCAATTCATGGCCGGCGGCACGTGCGCGGCCCAGGGCGGGGGAGCCCGGGGACGTCTTGAAATAAACCCTGTTGCCGTGCAGATCTGGGGAGGTGCCATGGCCCCTGCCATGATAGCCACCCTCGGCGGGTGGTAATGGGGGGTGACCCACACGGGGGGTGAAGAGAAGGGCCCGGAAGGAGCCCTTTAGGGCCCCTTCAGTGCCCTACAGGGCTCCCAGAGGGGCCCTTTAGGGCCCTTTGTGTTCACCTCCCATTTAGGCCAACCCCCGTTACCAACTGCCCGACCCCCCCCCCGAGTCAGCACCCCCTTCTTGACCGCTCCCGATTCTGCGCCGTCAGGATGACCGCGGTGTCCACGGCGTCCTCAAGGGAGGGAGCACTGGCGGCGCGCACGTGGTGGTGGCCGAAGGGGGCCAGCCCTCTCAGAGAAGTCAAGAGAAGGGGCTTGTGGAGGACAGAGCCCTTCGTGAGGAGGGTTTACAACATGAGCTCGATCAGAAGAAACCTTCCACAAGAAACCCAACCCTGGGACCCCAGGACATCAATTGATGATAGGCGTGGGAGCGTCACGCTTTCCATACCATCGAAACTCAAGAAACCCAGGGCACCCTGGAGGCAGGCCAGGTGTTTCTTGGCATGGGTTTCCACTGTATGGTCAGGTGTGGGAAGCTGTACCCATACCACTACCCTTCACTCGTTTGCCCTTTTTGGGCGGCCTCCTGGGGGGCCCTCATCGTCACCGCGGGATTCGCTTCGAGATTCTGTCCCGAGCGCACCCAAGGAGAGGTCCAGGGACTAGCGGTAGTGGTACCTTTTGGTTCCCGCATCTTATGGGGCTCCAAGGAAGCTTCTCTGAAGCCGGGAGGTCTTCTGAGAAGCCCCCGCCTTTTGAGATGCCCTTCAGGCTTATTAGTCAGGGCGACAAGCGGGCCTCAATTTCGAGGTAGTTTGCCTTTCAGGACCCTGAACTCGTGCACACAACTATGCCATCAGAACTCATGAGTTCTTGCCCCTGCCCTTGAAAAGTTCCTCTTGCTGATTTGGTCTGTGAGGGCTCCTGGGCCCAGAGATTGTTTTCAGGGCGGCCCAGCCGAGAACGGCTCATTCGGTTCTCAAGCCGCACTTCTGGATAGAGAAGGAAGATCCGGGTGACGCCAGCTCAAATTTCCCCTGCTGTGCTTGGGCTCAGAGATGCCCACCTTTGTGCGCGAAGCCTGATGGCTTTGGCGGGATCTGGCCCTGGTCGCCCGCAATTCCCATGGGCTTTTCGGGAGCTCTCCGGATGTCTCGGGTTTCTGTGCCTTGTTCTTGTATGTTTCGGGTCGGGCGAAAGGGGGGGATAGCAAAGGGGTGGTTTGAGAATCAGCTCACGTAGCTGATTTTCCTGGCGCCTCCCGGCGCCGGAGGCGGCTATGTATCGATGAATGGGCCCCTCTGCGAGGCCGAAACCAGCTGCATGCAGCAAATATCGTAACCCCCCCTTTCCCAATTCCCCCCCTTCGCCTGGCCCGAATGCTGAGATGCGCCGTGCTGTGCTGCGCAATCCTGTGGTTTGCGGTGCAATGCTGGCGCGCTGCGCGCAGATGCTCTGCCGGACTGCGCCGATTGCCAAGGCCATGTTGGGCTGTGGCATGCCATAATACGTCATGGCAGTGCTATGCCGAGTTTCGCAAACCAGTGATCCGATGCTCTGTGCCTCTCGGCACTCGCGGCCGTGGTGCAATGCGAAGCGCTGTCTGGCAAGGCTTCCGTCTTTGCTGTGAGCCCCCCCCCCGGGCACACCACCCACCTTTTCTCGCAACTACCTGCGTGGCGTGCCCCTCCTCCCGAGGGTTCCCTTGGCGTCCCGTCGCGCCCCCGGCGGTCTACAACATCTCGGCTCAAGGGGGGCCCCGATACGTCCAAGAGGGCTCGACGACGCGCGAAAAGGCTCCAAGAGGTTCCAGGAGACGCCCCAATGGGCTCCACGAGAAGGCTCAAACACCTTAATTCAATCATATAACCAAGCACAATCAAGTCCGTATCAAAAGGATGCGCGGTAAGGATGCAGTGGCCTTGGATGCCCAGGTTACCGTTGTTCGAACGAGGTTGGCCAGCGAAAGTCGCTAAGGATGGGCCGAAGGGGCAAGGATGCAAGGGTGCCCTTGGGAAAATTGCCCATCCGTATTATGCGGGTTGACTGTAAACCGATGCCATGCTGGTTGCTTCTCACACCTCCCAATTTCATCCGCAACCGTGCCAAAGGCACGCCAGGGCGTGTTAGAACCTGGGCCGGCACGGGAACGGAACGAGCGGGTCCGTGGAGCGGATATTTCACATGGTCTCGGGGGTTCGGCGGCCGTTTACGCGGCAGCGATTTGGACATAGGGATTGCCATGCATGCTTGTTGGAGCAAACTGGAGTGCGAATCACAGTAGGACGGCCGCCGTGGTGATCGGAGTTGTTATGTCACCGTCCGCTCCGAGGAGCCTTGGCGGTCAGTGTTTGACGGCACGGTTCGCTCTGGTGGGGTCTCGTAAAAGGCTCTTGGAGGCATCTCGGAATGCCTCTCGGAAGTTTATTGGGGGTCTTTTGGGTTGTTTGGGGGCCTTCTGAGGCCCTCTGGGACCGTCTTGGGGGGCTTGGGCCGGCTTGGGGCGCTCTCGGGGCCCTCTTGTGAGCCTCCTGTGGCTCCCTTGGGGCTCCCCTGGGAGGCTCTTGGGCCTCTGTGGGGCCCTCCTTGGCTCGTCTTGGACCGTTTACGCCATGGCTGACGCCATTCAGGCCCGGGAGGAGGAAGTCGGGGGGGTGGGGGGGGGGGCTGACGCCATGGCATGATGGCTGACGCCATTCAGGCTCGGGAGGGGGGAGAGGAGCTCACGCCATTCAGGCCCGGCAAGGGGGAGCGGGGCGGGGAGCTCGCTCAAGTTTCGCTCGCTCTGTCGGGGGGGGGGGGCTGACGCCATAGCTGACGCCATTCAGGCTCGGGAGGGAGGGGGGGGGACGCCATAGCTTACGCCATTCAGGCCCGGGAGGAAGGAGTCGGGGGCGGGGGGGCTGACGCCATAGCTGACGCCATTCAGGCCCAGGAGGGGAGAAGGGGAGGGGGGGAGATTCAAGCCCGAGAGGAGAGAGTCGGGGGGGGGACGCCATGGCTGGCGCCATTCAGGCCCGAGAGGGGGGAGGGGGAGGGGGAGCTCGCTCAAGCTTCGCTATGTCGGGGGGGGAGGGGGCTGACGCCATATCTGACGCTATTCAAGCCCAGGAGGGGGGAGGGGGGGGGGGGGAAAGGGTGACGCCATGGTTGACACCATTCAGGCCCGAGGGGGGGAATTCGGGGGAGAGGGGGGGGCCCCGGGGGGGAGGGCTGACGCTATGGCTGACGCCATTCAGGCCCGGGATGAGGGAGAGGGGGGGGGGGAGCTCGCTCAAACTTCACTCTGTCGGGGGGGGGGCTGACGCCGTGGCTGACGCCGTGGCTGACGCCATTCAGGCTCGGGAGAGGGAGAGGGAGGGGGACGGCCGGCGCCATTCACGCCCGAAGAGGGCTCCAAGACGGCCCAAGAGGGTCCCAAGAGGGCCCAAGAAGCCCCAAGGCGGCCCTCGAAAGGCCTCCAAGATATTCAAAAACTTCCTCCAGCGCGCCCCCAAGAAACCTCCAGGATGCATCCAAAAAGCCCCCCGAGAAACCCAGGAGCGCCCCCGGTAACACCCCGGATCGGCGGCACTGGCCGGAGGCCACTACAATAATGCTCGTCGCCGCTCGATTAGGAAGGTCGGGCACTTCGCCTGAAACGTGCTTGCAACTTGTGATATTGTGAACTCAGAGGCTCTCGATATAGCGCCACGCACATCCGCTCGACACGATTGCAGCAATTGCCTGGCTTGACGGCGGATGGCATTCAACCTGTGGCTCTCTCCTTAACGCAACGTGCGTTCTTTTTGTTTTGTTTGGCGCGGCTGCAACCGCCTCCCAGGTGAGGGCTGTCATTGCCCAGGTTGGGGCTTGCGGCTACATATCGCGCTCTGGACAAACAAAACTGACTGAACCAACAAGGCACCTCGCTTCGCGGTGCACGTGTCGCGCTGTCCGCCCTCAGTTGCCGCAGCGCCCAGAGAAGCACGGGGCACGCCGAAACACCGTGGAGAGAGCGACTTCACACGCAAGGCTGATCAGGAGTCTCGTGAGCCATTTTAAGGGGAAGAAAGGAAAGCTGTAAAGGGAATATTGGAGGCGGGATGGATTTGTGTGTGTGTGTGTGTGTGTGTGTGTTCAGAAAGGGGATTATGTTTCCACTAGCGTGTTACTAAACAAGTGCTGCAACAGTCCGCGGTGGGAACCTGTCCAGGATATGAGATGTTCCAGCAGTCCTTCGCCTGCTATAAGGATGTCTCAAACTCAGACCTGAGCAGATAACACTACGAGCAGTCTGAAACACTTGGCGAAATCGCAGGATTCGATGCCAGGCGAGCCCAGGGCCAAATGCAGCCGTGCGCCACGAACGCTGGCAGACAATGACGGAGATGGGCCGCGACCCACCGCATGAACAATGCCTCCGCTTCCTCCTCCTCCTCCTCATCCTCCTCCTCCTCCTCCTCTTCCTCCACCACCCCTCTCATCCACCACCCCCCCGCCTCCCCTCCTCCTCCTCCTCCTCCTCCTCCTCCTCCTCCTGAATTTGCCGTGAGCGGCGAGGGGTGCCCGCGCGAATGGGAGAGAGGACCCATCCTCGTGCGGCTTTGGCCCAGCTTGCCAGGCGCACCCCCCAGTGCCGCAGGAGCTGGCAGGAGGCGACGACGGGCCAGAATATTAGACTATGGCGATGGCGCTATGGCCGGGATTGAGCAGGGACCGACCGTCCCCGCATTCCTATAAGCCCACGTCCGCATGTTTTTAGAACCCAGAAATGTTCTGAGAACAGAAACAATGTTCTCAGAACGTAGGCCCGATGCGATAAAACAAATCAGTCTCAGCGACAACTGTTCTAAGAACATTGCTTGCAGACCACAACAGGTTGTTAGGAAAATTCTTCGGTAGGCCTAAAAGCGAGCTGGGACGCTTCGCCACTGCTTGAAGGGAAGTGCACAATGCTTCCCCCACCGCTGCTGCTCAACTGCCCCGCCTCCCGACCGGCTGCAGCGTGAGCCCCGCCCCGCGGCCCGGAGGTCAGGCCGTGCCGTCCGCCTCCTTGTTCGAGCCGTACTCCTGGCCGCCGTACCCTGCTGGCTGAGCGACGATCGCGCCGGACACCACCGGCTGCTGCACCTGCCAAGGCCGCGCTAACGGCGATGTTGGTTAACGGTGCTGTTGGGAATCTGGTTTTTGTGACACCGAGCCGCCTCACGAAAGGGCCGCTTCCGACAGTAAATGTGAGGATGTACCGAACGAAAGCAACGCAGCGGGCTGTAGGAAAACACGAACCGCGCGTCCCTGCAAAATGGTCTGGCCACGAACCGCGCTTTCCTACAGTTGGATGTCCTACTTCGCCGTTAGCTAACACACCGTTAGCGCGTCTACGGACCTGGCCCACGACCTGCGGGGCCTGGGGCGGAGGGGCCACCTGGAAGTACGGGAGGTTCCCTGCAGCGGTCTGCACGGGGGCGCCCACTGGGGCAGGCTGCCCGCCCCCGTGGTTGCTCAGGTCGCGGCGGAAGAACCTGCGCGACTGCTCGGGACTCCACATGCACATGACGTAGCAGCAGTCCAGGGGCGGGAGGCCGACGAGCCCAGGGATCCAGTGCGCCAGGCAGCCCTTCATCGCCTCCTCGGTGCACCAGGTGCACGACCCGTCGGGCCCGCAGCAGAAGTCGCCGTTCTCCCAGAAGGCGATGGCCAGGAAGCCGACGCAGCATCCAGCCATGCACTTGTCCTCCACGGTGCGCTGCGAGCCGTCCCCTGTGATGTTCTGTGGATCCGGCGACCAGCAGCACAGGGACACGACGCAACCCATGCAGCAGAGAATCTCGAGGATGAAAGCCCACAAGGCCATGCCTGAACACATGCCCGCGGTGGGATCACCGGTCTCGTACCCCGAGATAGCGCACGGCGGCATCCAACACTTTGCGCAGAACGATGGGGGCACCCGCGCACCGACCGTCTTACCATCCCCATCCATTGTCTGCGGCACGAAGTTCGGATTCTGCTGATCCATGGTGGTTGTTGCACAGTGGCAGCCTCTTAATGACTGTGTATCCACAGAGGCTAAAGGTCGTGGTCTGTTCACGTGGCTGGTTTCCGATAGGCTTGAACCAAAAAAATGCTACGGATTAGCGCAACGTGCGTTTTTCTGAAAATGTCCCATCACGGAAAGGATGGGGATACTTCTATACGTGGCTATCGCCTCAGCGCCGCGCATACTCGCCTCACACTTTGCGATGCCTGCGGTGATCTGCTCTGTCTCTCTCTTTCTCTCTTTCTCTCTCTCTCTTGATCTCTCTCCCTCTCACTCGTTCGTCTTCCCCCACCTACCAAGCTTGGGTCGTCTGATTTTAACAGCAGACCTCCCGACCCGTCCACCCTGCATGCCACGGCCGCCATATCCCCAAGTCCTCCGATTGTCCCCGAGAGTCCCGCCCTGCGCCACTCTGCATACCGCGGCCGCCAGACACCCGAGTCGCCCGATTTTCCCCGAGAGCCCCGCCTCGAGCCACTCTGCACACCGCGGCCGCCAGATCTCCAGGTCTTCCCCGAGTGTCCCCGAGTGTCCCGCCTCGCGCCGACGCACCCACCCTGCGTACCGCGGTCGCCAGATCCCTGGGTCCCCCGAGTGTCCCCGAGTGTCTCGCCTCGCGCCATTCTGCATACCGCGGCCGCCAGATCCTCAGGTCTCCCGAGTGTCCCCGAAAGTCCCGCATCGCGCTGACAAATCATGACATGACAGAGCGGTATTACAAACATGCCAACACATAAAACAGCACAACACGTAAGCTAACACGTCCGATCATACCAAACCACATCAGGCTATATCCACCGAAACAGAACGAACAGTAACACCACACCACACCCCGTAAGCTAACACGTCCGATCATACCAAACCATATCAGGATATATCCACCGTAACATAACGAACCACGACAGAACAACGCTTACCATAACACATCATCATACACATATCATTACATCGCCGCAATCGTACTATGAAAACACCACATAACTGGACAAACAAACACATGACACGAGATACCAGATCGCACCACTCCACATCATACAGCACATGACATACCATCTATATATGAACAAACACGACATACCATATTATACAATATGAAACCTTACCACGACATGGCATGTCATACCACATCGTACAATACCATACCACAACACACCATACCACAGTATCACACCACAGAAAGCATGTCATAAAGCATCGCACCACATATGACACATCATGTCATGCCAGAGCGCGGCATGCACAACATCGTACAACATTGCATCGCACCGCAAACTATAGCATACTGGGTCATACACACCATACCATACCACACCAACTCATACCGCAACATGATAGAGCATGCCATGTCATACCATGCCATACCATAGTACACGTTGTCATACGATGGCAAACAATACCACACCGTAGCACGACAGCGCTGCCCATACCATTCCATACCATAGCGCGACACAACACCTTATATTATACCATACCAGAACTTGCCACACTACCATACTAATACCGCATAATATTTTGTAGCATGCCAGGGAATTCCGTAGAAGGACACATCGCAACATCGCATGCCATGACATCATGAAAAGCATATGGCATGACGTAGCACCACGCAGAAAACATTCAAAACCACAGCGCACACCCCAACATAGCTTACCAGAACAGAGAATAATATTGCACACACACGCTGGCATAACATATCCGCATGGCACAGAGTCGCAACATGTCATAACATGCTAAACCGTTCAATCACACCATAATGTCGGGCCCCACAACATAATCAATTCCGGCGTGCGCACCGAGGTCAGGCTGGACAGATGAGCAAACATGCGCAGCAACGAACGATCGGACGACACATCTGTCGTGATAGGCGTCACGGCGTCACGTCGGCCCGCCGAGAACAGAACACACATAATGTATCACTGCGTGCTCTAACATTAGCAACCCAACATCATATAGCGAATCCAACACACCGTAAACAGCATACTATAGTATAATTGCTGTACTGCGGCAGCCCCTACGTCAACGATTCATATATCACTCACTCACTCACACACCAAAATGTCCAACGTTCCAAACATCAGGTATTGGTTGACATGCGCTGAGAACATAGACGGTGCTCGCCGATTTGGCGCCTCATATTAGCACCGCGCAGCGCCTGAATGTGAGCAGTGCGGCGCACGGAAGCGGCGCGCACACAGACCAGCTCACCGAGGGTGGCGACCTTGACCCCGGGCTTTTCCCTGGGGCCCTACGCTTCGCCCCCTTCCCCGAGCGGCGAGGGCGGCGCGCGCTTCTGGGGGGGGGGGGGGGCGAGAGGGGTGAGAGGGCAGCATGGGGGCCACAGCAGAGGAACTACGAGCGGGCGCAGAGGGGAGAGGTCTATTCGGGGGAGCCTGAGACCAGGATCCCCGAACATCAAACACAGCTGATGTCTTCCTCTCGGGCCTATCTCGAGCAGGAAGCACGGGTCTGGAGCGGGTGGCGTAAGCCTCAGAAGTCGAAGTAGCTGCACTCCGTGCCGTAGGTGGTGGTGTACAGGTCGGCGGTCGTGCGGTGGTTGAGTCCACACCCCTGCATGCACCAGCTTGGTAGTTCCCACTGAGAGCTAAACGAACCATTGTATCTGAAGAGGCACTCGGTGCCGTGGGAAGTGGTGCACCCGGCTGTCGGTGGATCACTTCATGAACTGTATCCTCTAAGCTACTGCGTGCACCAGCTTGATGCACATTCGTCCCAGAAGTAGCTTTCAGGCGCCGAATTGATTTCCCATCGATCTCCAGCTCAGGTGCGTCGTTCGCCGTGTTGGCGGTGCTCACACGTCGTCGTTCGAGAGCGCATCCAAGTAGAGAGCCACCTCGTTCTCCACAAAGCCCGCTGGGGTTGGTCCGAGGCAGGCTGGCTTGTTCGCGCTGTGGAGCGCTGTCATGATCTTCTGGCGTACGGTAATCTCGCAGCAATTGAACATGATCTTCGCCGTGCCGCCCTTGTATGCTTTCTCGACCTTGCAGATCGGGAGCATGTCCTGTGCCTGGTACGCGTCGGGCTCGTTTATCTGCTGGAGCGCCGTCGTGAGCTCCTCCTTGCACTTCGCACCGATGTCCTTCTTCGCCAACGCCTCGATCATGGCCATGGCTGCGCCAGGGGCTGGGGGGCCCCTTCCGTGATTTTCTCCTTCTTGGCGGACCATCCGCGCGTAGTTGCGATTCTCCGACCCGGTTGCTTCGACCAAGGGATCGTTGCCTTCCACTTTCACCGTCGTGATGATATTACCCTTGAGCTCGCGGAACTGCTGGGTGTCCTGGTACGTCGCGCGGAGGACGATGAGCATCAGGTCGTTCATCTCTTGGCTCATCTTCGGCGCGGGCTTCGCCTTGCAGCCAGCTCCGCGACGGCGCCGAACTCGGGCGAGGGTCACCTTCTTGGGGTCGAACTTGGCCTCCTCGTCCATCGCCGCGTCGTCCTGGCCCTTGCGGTTCTCGCGCATCTGGCTCCGTGAGCGCTCGGGTCTTCCTCGACTGCCACCAGTGCCAGAGGCTGCTGAGTACTCCAGGGGGGCACGCCACCCCGCTCCCACATGCGTCGGGATCCGCCCATGCCCGTCATCGTCAGTAGCTGTCGGTGGTGCTGGTGTGGGCGTAGGCGCCGGTATAGAAAGTGTGTGAGCACCCAGTGCTTCTTGGGGTAGGTGGCTACGGAGATGCGCGCGCATCGTGCTGTATTCTTCGAAGGACTGGTAACATATGGAACATGTTAAGGTCTTTGGCGACGTTACTGGGTATGGTGCCCGTGTCTGATCCGTGCGGCATATGCGTGATCTCCATGCAACTGTGATGTGATTTTGGTGCGGCCACGCGTGTAGGAAATGTCGTACCGCCTATGATGTACTCGTTCGTGATCGTAATCTGAGAGAGTAAGCAGCACATGCCGTGTTCCCCTCCTGGTGCGAGTCCCCTCTGATGTGCGTAAAGTGCTCGTGCGCTCTTCCATGTCGTCATACACGCGATGCCTTCTGACGTTTTCAGCGTGCAGACGAACAGTTCGGCCTTGTCTGACGGGGCCACTTGAGACGGGAGCTCCGTTAGAGCTCCTGGTAGCGCAAGTGCGCGCCGAAGGTGGGCAGCCCTCGTCATGCCCACGTCGACGCGGCAGAATGCCTCCGCTACGCCGGGCTCCGTGAACAGTTCCACGATCTTGCCTCGCCATTCAAGGTATTCCAGAGGCTCGGCGTCGAGGACCAGCATGTCCTGGATGTCCGTGGAGGACTGTCTGGCGATGAGGTGGGCGTCAGGGTTGATGTAGCCGTCGTCGTTCAGTGTCCGCGGGGCCACAGGTAGGTCAAGTTCCCGAAGGTGATGATCGATCTGGAGTTCGCCAAACAGAACTGATACCATGTGCCTGGAGTCGTCGGGATGGGCCGCCGCGCCCTGAAGGACTTTAAGACGCTGTACTTCCAACTCGATCGAGCCCGGTGCAATCTCCCATCTGCGCCAGACTTCAGCTGCTGATATGGACTTGTAGCGGTCGTGTGTACGTAGGCAACCTTTGCCCTTCAACATGGCTCGGAGCATCTTGCCCAGGGATGTGTCAAGTTTTTGTAGCCGGTCGCGTGCAGGTAGTAAGTCTCGGCGCCACTAATCGCCGCCTCGTACACCACAGCCTGGAAACCCAATTGTTTCAATCGTATCGGAGCAGGACTGGACAAGAAATTGTGGCATTGACTCCATCCTGAGTTGGCTGCTCGTAAACGTGCATATCGTTCGCCTCCGAAGGTGTCCTTGCCGTCGATCATGCCACCCACGTGTTTCATGGAAGTGATTGGCGGTCGATCCGTTTGTCGTCGAAAAAAAGGCGCGATGCAATGTCTAAGAGGGGATGATGTGAACTATTTCCTCCTTTGATTCGTTCAGTCCAAAATCAGCCGTTCGCAATGCTTGCCGTCGTAAGTCAAAGTCTCGCTCGATAATCATGGCCAGGGCGTCTAGCTCGGTTGCGGTCGCATCGTGAAGGTTGCCCTGTGCGTCCATGGCCTGCTTCTTGGCACCAACACGTATGGCGATGTGAAACTTGACTATGTCGTCCACGAACACCTGCCGCG